TAACCAGTCTAACCAGTACCTTCCAGCGTGGTGGCCGTCACCCTCAGCCCGTCCTCCTCGGAGCTGATCTCCCAGTATAACCCAGTATAACCAGTACAAACCAGTCCCTCCCAGTACAAACCAGTCTAACCAGTCCCTCCCAGTGTAACCAGTCCCTCCCAGTATAACCAGTCTAACCAGTCTAACCAGTCTAACCAGTCTAACCAGTACCTTCCAGCGTGGTGGCCGTCACCCTCAGCCCGTCCTCCTCGGAGCTGATCTCCCAGTATAACCAGTATAACCAGTCCCTCCCAGTCTAACCAGTATAACCAGTCCCTCCCAGTCTAACCAGTCTAACCAGTCTAACCAGTCTAACCAGTCTAACCAGTACCTTCCAGCGTGGTGGCCGTCACCCTCAGCCCGTCCTCCTCGGAGCTGATCTCCCAGTATAACCAGTATAACCAGTCCCTCCCAGTCTAACCAGTATAACCAGTCCCTCCCAGTCTAACCAGTCTAACCAGTCTAACCAGTCTAACCAGTCTAACCAGTCTAACCAGTCTAACCAGTCTAACCAGTCTAACCAGTCTAACCAGTCTAACCAGTCTAACCAGTCTAACCAGTCTAACCAGTCTAACCAGTCTAACCAGTCTAACCAGTCTAACCAGTATAACCCAGTATAACCAGTCTAACCAGTCTAACCAGTATAACCAGTATAACCCAGAATAAACCAGTATAACCAGTACCCTCGAGGCTGGGCGCCGTCACCCTCAGCCCGTCCTCCTCGGAGCTGATCTCCCAGTGTAACCAGTACAGACCAGTATAACCCAGTCTAACCAGTATAACCAGTCTAACCAGTCTAACCAGTATAACCAACCCAAATTAAACCCAAATTGACTCAAATTAACCCAAAGTTAACCAAAATTAACCCAAATTAACCCAAAATTAACCAAAATTAACACAAATTGACCCAAAATTAACCCAAATTAACACAAATTAACCCAAATTAACCCAAAATGAACTAAAATTAACCCAAATTAACCCAAAATTAACCCAAATTAACCCAAAATGAACTAAAATTAACCCAAATTAACCCAAAATTAACCCAAATTAACACAAATTAACCCAAAATGAACCAAAATGGACACGAATTAACCCAAAATTAACATATATTAACCCAAATTAACAGAAATTAACCCAAAATTAACACAAATTGACTCAAATTAACCCAAAGTTAACCAAACTTAACCCAAATTAACCCAAAATTAATCAAAATTTACACAAATTAACCCAAAATGAACTAAAATTAACCCAAATTAACCCAAAATTAACCCAAATTAACACAAATTAACCCAAAATGAACCAAAATGGACACGAATTAACCCAAAATTAACACATATTAACCCAAATTAACAGAAATTAACCCAAAATTAACACAAATTGACTCAAATTAACCCAAAGTTAACCAAACTTAACCCAAATTAACCCAAATTTAACCCAAATTAACACAAATTAACCTAAAATTAACCGAAATTGACACAAATTAACGCAAAATTAACCCAAAATTGACACAAATTAACGCAAAATTAACCCAAAATTAACCCAAATTTAACCCAAATTAACACAAATTAACCTAAAATTAACCGAAATTGACACAAATTAACCCAAAATTAACCAAAATTAAACAAATTGAACTGAAATTAACACAAATTACCAGAAATTTCACTGAAATTAACTCAATTAACCGAAATTAACCCAAATTTAACCCCAAATTAAATGAAATTCGTACAAATTAACCCAAAATTAAATGAAATTAACTCCAATTAACCCAAAATTAACCCAAATTTAACCCCAAATTAAATGACATTAACACAAATTAACCTAAAATTGACCAAATTAACCCAAAATTAAAGGAAATTAACCCAAAATCAACCCAAATTAACCCAAAATTAATGCAAATTAACCCAAAATTAACCCAAATTAACCAAAATAGCCCAAAATCACCCCAAAATATCCCAAATTAACCCCAAATTCACTCAGAAATCTCCCAAAATCCCCCCAAATCCACCCAAATTAACCAAAATCTATAAAGTCCCAAAATCCCCCAAAATCTCCCAAAATCCCCCAAAATCCACCCAAATTAACCAAAATCTCCCAAACTTAACAAAAAGTCCCAAAATCCCCCAAAATCTCCCAAAATCCCCCAAATTACCCCAAAATCTCCCCAAAACCAACCCCCAATTATCCCAAAATCCCCCAAAATCAACCCAAAATTTCCCCAAATCCCCCAAAATTAAACCAAATTAACCCAAAATCCCCCCAAATTCTCCAAATTTCCCCAAAATCCCCCAAATATCCCCAAATCAGCCAAAATTATCCCCAAAAATCCCCCAAATTAACCTAAAGTTCCCAAATCCCCCAAAATTAACCCAAAATCTCCCAAATTCCCCAAAATTTCCCCAAAATCCCCCCAAATCCCCCCAAAACTGATCAAAATTAACCCTAGAATCGCCCAAAATCCCCCCAAATTTCCCCAAAATGCCCTCCAATTACCCCAAAATATCCCAAAATCTCAAAAAATCCCCCCAAATTAACCCAAATCCCCCCAAATCCCCCCAAAACTGATCAAAATTAACCCAAGAATCGCCCAAAATCCCCCCAAATTAACCCAAAATGCCCCAAAATTAACCCAAAATGCCCCAAAATTAACCCAAAATCCCCCAAAATCCCCCAAGACAGAACCCAAAATCCCTCAAAATTAACCCAAAATCCCCCCAAAATTAACCCAAAATCAACCCAAAATCCCCCCAAGTCCCCCCAAATTGACCAAAACCCCCCAGATTCTCCCCAAACGGCCCCGCCCCTCCCCCACCTGCGCAGGCGGCCCAGGGCGGCTCCGCGGTGACGTCACCGGGCGGGGACCTGGGGGAGGGGCAGCGTCAGAGCCCCGGGGCATTTGGGGAAATTTGGGGGATTTGGGGGATTTTTGGGGGGATGTGGGGAATTTTGAGGATTTTTGGGGGGATTTTGGGGAAAATTTTGGGGGATTTTGGGCAATTTTTGTGGATTTTGAGGAGTTTTGGAGGGATTTTTGGGGAAATTTGGGGAATTTTGAGGATTTTTGGGGAAATTTGGGGGAATTTGGGCAATTTTGGGTGGATTTTGAGGAGTTTTGGGGGGATTTTTGGGGAAATTTAGGAGATTTTGGGGATTTTTGGGAGGATTTGGGGGAATTTCTGGGGGAATTTGGGCGGATTTTGAGGAGTTTTGGGGGGATTTTTGGGGAAATTTAGGAGATTTTGGGGATTTTTGGGAGGATTTGGGGGAATTTCTGGGGGAATTTGGGCGGATTTTGAGGAGTTTTGGGGGGATTTTTGGTGAATTTTGGGGCAATTTTTGGGAATTTTGTGGAAAATTTTTGAGGAGTTTAGGGAATTTTAGGGAATTTTTTTGGAATTTGGGGATTTTTGGGTGAATTTTGGGGGGATTTGTGAAAATTTTGGATTCTTTTGGGGAATTTGGGGGGATTTTGGGTAAATTTTGGATGGTTTTGGGGAAAATGGAATTTTGGGAGGGAATTTGGGGTGGATTTGAGGAATTTGGGGGGGAATTTTGGATGATATTGGGGAAATTTTGGGAGGAATTTTTGGGGGGATTTTGGTGAATTTGGGGAAATTTGGGGGATTTGATCAATTTTGGGGGCTTTTGGAGGGAATTTGGGGAGGTTTGGGAGGATTTTGGAACACTTTAGGAAGGAATTTGGGGGGATTTTGGGAAAATTTGGGAGATTTTGGGGGATTTTGGTGGAATTTGAGGAGGTTTTGGAGGATTTTGGGAGGATTTTGGGTGGATTTGATGAGTTTTGGGGGATTTTGGGAACTTTTTTGGGGTGATTTTGGGATAATTTTTGGGGTGATTTTTGGAACAGTTTTGGGATGATTTTGGGGTGATTTTTGGTGATTTTGCAACATTTTTAGGTGAATTTGGGGCAGTTTTAGGGTGATTTTTGGGCTGATTTTGGGGCAGTTTTGGGATGATTTTGGGATGATTTTTGGATAATTTCTAGGGTGAATTTGGGGCAGTTTGGGGTGATTTTGGGATAATTTTTGGGGTGATTTTTGGGATAATTTTGGGGTGATTTGGGGCAGTTTGGGGATAATTTTTGGGGTGATTTTGGGATAATTTTTGGGGTGATTTTTGGGATAATTTTGGGGTGATTTGGGGCAGTTTTGGGGCAGTATTTGGATCATTTTGGGATGATTTTTGGATAATTTTTGGGGTGATTTGGGGCGGTTTCGGGATCATTGTGGGATGGTTTTTGGGTGGTTTTTGGGGTGATTTTGGGATGATTTCTGGGGTGATTTTGGGATGATTTTGGGATGATTTCTGGGTGGTTTTTGGGGTGATTTCGGGCGGTTTCGGGGCTCACCCGCAGCTGTCGCTCATCAGCTCCTCCGGCTCCTCCTTCAGCCTGGGGGGAGGGGACAGGGACAGGTGACATCATCAGTGGGGACAGGTGACATCATCAATGGGGACAGGTGACATCATCAGTGGGGACAGGTGACATCATCAAATGTCACCAGAGGGGACAGGTGACAATGACAGGGAGAGGACAGCACAGGAAACGTCACCAGAGGGGACAGGGACAGGTGACAGCGATGGGGACAGGTGACAGTGACCCCGACAGGTGACAGTGACCCCGACAGGTGACAGTGACCCCGACAGGTGACAGTGACCCCGACAGGTGACAGTGACCCCGACAGGTGACAGTGACCCCGACAGGTGACAGTGACCCCGACAGGTGACAGCCATGGGGACAGGTGACATCATCAAATGTCACCAGAGGGGACAGGTGACACCATCAATGGGGACTGGTGACACCAATGGGGACAGGGACAGGTGACACCATCAATGGGGACAGCACAGGAGAGATGTCACCAGAGGGGACAGGTGACACTGACAGGGACAGGTGACACTGACAGGTGACACAGACAGGGACAGGTGACAGCCATGGGGACAGGTGACAGTGACCCCGACAGGTGACACTGACAGGGACAGGTGACACCGACTGGGACCTTGCTGTCCCCAGTGTCCCCAAGCCATCCCTGTGCCCCAAACTGTCCATGGTGTCCCCAATGTCCCCAAGTGTCCCCACCTTCCCCAATGTCCCCAAGTGTCCCCAGTGTCCCCAAATGCTCCCAAATGTCCCCGTGTCCTCCTGTCCCCAACGTTCCCAATGTCCCTGATGTCCCCAATGTGCCACTGTCCCCACTGTCCCCAGGTGTCCCCAATGTCCCCCAGTGTCCTTGATGTCCCCAGTGTCCCTGATGTCCCCAGTGTCCCCACTGTCCCCAATGTCCCCCAGTGTCCCTGATGTCCCCAATGTCCCCATGGTCCCCAATGTGCCACTGTCCCCAATGTCCCCCAGTGTCCCCATTGTCCCCAATGTCCCCCAATGTCCCCAATGTCCCCAATGTCCCCCAGTGTCCCTGATGTCCCCAATGTCCCCATGGTCCCCAATGTGCCACTGTCCCCAATGTCCCCCAGTGTCCCTGATGTCCCCAATGTCCCCATTGTCCCCAATGTGCCACTGTCCCCAATGTCCCCCAGTGTCCCTGATGTCCCCAATGTCCCCATTGTCCCCAATGTGCCACTGTCCCCAATGTCCCCCAGTGTCCCCAATGTCCCCCAGTGTCCCCATTGTCCCCAATGTCCCCCAATGTCCCCAGTGTCCCCAGTGTCCCCAAATGTCCCCATTGTCCCCATGTCCTCACCCGCTGTCCCCCGTGTCCAGCTCCAGCCGCGGTCTCTTCGTCCCCGGCCCCGTCCCCTCCCCCGGCCGCTTGGGATGTCCCCAAGGTGTCCCCAGGGCGTCCCCGTGGCCGTTGGGGGCGGTGGCACCCAGCTGGTGGCCCTGAGAGATGTCCCCAAGCTGCCGCTGGCCCTGGCCCATGTCCCCAGGGTGGTGGCCTTGACCGATGTCCCCAGGGTGGTGGCCTTGACCGATGTCCCCAGGGTGGTGGCCCTGCGCGTTCCTGACGTGGTGGTGGCCTTGACCGATGTCCCCAAGCTGGTGGCCTTGACCGATGTCCCCAAGGCGGTGGCCCTGGATGACGTCACTGAGCTGCTGGCCCTGCCCGATGTCCCCGAGGTGGTGGCCTTGACCGATGTCCCCGAGGTGGTGGCCTTGGGCGTTTCCAAGCTGGTGGCCCTGAGCGATGTCCCCGAGCTGGTGGCTTTGACTGATGTCCCCGAGCCGGTGGCCTTGATCAATGTCCCCAAGCCGCTGTCCCTGCCTGATGTCCCCAAGCCGGTGGCACTCAGCGATGTCCCCGAGCTGGTGGCTTTGATCAATGTCCCCGAGCTGGTGGCCCTGCCTGATGTCCCCAAGCCGGTGGCCTTGACCGATGTCCCCAAGCCGCTGTCCCTGCCAGGCGCCGTTGGTGGCGGCCGTGTCCCCATTGGTGACAGCCATGTCCCCGTTGGTGGCAGCCATGTCCCCGTTGGTGGCAGCCATGTCCCCGTTGGTGACAGCCGTGTCCCCGTTGGTGGCAGCCGTGTCCCCGTTGGTGGCCGTGTCCCCGTTGCTGTCCCCGTGGCCGGTGACACCGCGCAGGACAAAGTCCACGATGTCGGGTGGCAGCCCCTCGGGGGGCGGTGGCACCTCGGCGGGGGGTGGCCCTGTCCCCGCTGTCCCCTCTGTCCCCGCTGTCCCCCGGGCGCCGTCGTCGGCCCCGTCCAGCTGCCGGATGCGGGGACAAGGGGACAGCGGGGACAGGGCCAGCGCCGGGGCCACCACGGTGCGGGCGTAGCCGAAGTAACGTCCCCGCGGTGTCACCGTCACCCGCCCCGCCGCGCCGGCCTCGTCGTCGTCCTCGCTGGTGTCACCGCGAGGGGACAGCGGCCGCGGGGGGCGGGGCCTGGGGGGACAGGGACAGTGAGGGGGACAGGGACAGTGAGGGGGGACAGGGGACAGTGAGGGGGACAGGGGACAGTGAGGGTGACAGGGACAGTGAGGGGGGACAGGGACAGTGAGGGGGACAGGGGACAGTGAGGGTGGCAGGGGACAGTGAGGGGGACAGGGGACAAGGAGCACTGGGGAGTGGTGGCCCTGGAGGTGACAGTGAGCAGGGAGGTGACAACGACCTTGAGATGACAGTGAGGGGGGACAGGTGACAATGAGGGTGACAGGGGACAAGGAGCTTGGGGGAGTGGTGGCCTCAGAGTGACAATGGCCTTGGGGTGACAATGACATCATGGGTGACAGTGACCAGGGAGGTGACAATGGCCCTCAAGGTGACACTGTGCCAGTGGGTGACATCGATCCCTGAGGTGACAATGGCATCAGGGGAGGTGACAATGTCCCCAGGGGGAGGTGACAGGGACCTGGCAGTGACACTGTCCTCAGGGGATGTGACACAGTGACAATGTCCCCAGGGGAGGTGACACTGCCCCAGGGGGAGGTGACACTGCCCCCAGGGGGAGGTGACACTGCCCCAGGGGGAGGTGACAATGTCCCCAGGGCACTGACCAGGGGGAGGTGACACAGTGACACAGTGACAGGTGACTGTCCCCAGGGGGGTGACACCGTGACACAGTGACACTGACCCAGGGGGGGTGACACAGTGACATGGTGGCACTGACCAGGGGGAGGTGACACTGTCCCCAGGGGGGTGACACGGTGACACTGACATTGTCCCCAGGGAGGTGACACAGTGACACAGTGACAGGTGACTGTCCCCAGGGGGGTGACACGGTGACACTGACACTGTCTCCAGGTGGGTGACACTGTGACAATGTCCCCAAGGGGGGGTGACACTGCCCCAGGGGGAGGTGACGCGGTGACACAGTGACACTGTCCCCAGGGACGTGACACGGTGACACTGTGGCACTGACCCAGGGGGTGACAATGTCCCCAGGGGGAGGTGACAATGACCCAAGGGGGTGACACTGTCCCTAGCGGGGTGACAATGTCCCCAAGGGGAGGTGACACGGTGACATGGTGACACTGCCCTGGCAGTGACAATGTCCCGGGGGGGGTGACATGGTGGCACTGACCAGGGGGAGGTGACACTGTCCCCAGCGAGGTGACACGGTGACACTGACACTGTCCCCAGGTGGGTGACACTGTGACAATGTCCCCAAGGGGGGGTGACACTGCCCCTGGCGCTGGCCTCCAGCGCCGCCCTCTGTCCCCAGAGCCGCGGTGGCCCCGGGGGTGACGTCGGTGACCTCGGCGGTGCCACCAACCCGCCGGGTGACGTCATCGGGTCAGGTGACAGCGGCACCACCCCGTTGGGTGACGTCATCGGGTCAGGTGACAGTGCCAGCACGCCGTTGGGTGACGTCATCGCGCCGGGGGACGACGGCCTCGGGAGTGGCAGCGACCTGGGGGTGACAGTGACACCGGGGGTGACAATGACACCGGGGGTGACGTCATCCTGTGGGTGCCACCTCCTGGGGGTGACAGTGACACCGGGGGTGACAGTGACACCGGGGGTGACGTCATCCCCTGGGTGCCACCATGCTGAGGTGACAATGACTGGGGAGGTGACAATGGCCTGGGAGGTGACACCAGGAGGTGACACTGTCCCCAGGAGGTGACCTAGGAGGTGACACCGGGAGGTGACACTGAGCTGGAGGTGACACTGGGAGGTGACAGGAGGTGACACTGCCCTGGGGGTGGCCCTGTCCCACTGGGTGACACTGGGAGGTGACAGGAGGTGACACTGAGCTGGAGGTGACACTGGGAGGTGACAGGAGGTGGGGGGGGGGGGTGACACTGACATGGGGGGTGGCACTGCCCCAGGAGGTGACAGAAAGTGACATTGACCAGGGGTGACACTGGGGGGTGACAGGAGGTGACACTGAGAGGTGACACTGACATGGGGGTGGCACTGGGGGGTGACAGGAGGTGACAGAAGGTGACACTACCCCAGGAGGTGGCACTGGGGGATGACACTGATCTGGGTGACAGCGCGGGTGACACTGAGGGTGGCACTGCCCTGGGGGGTGGCACTGACGCCGGGGGGTGACACCCCGGGGGGGGGAGGTGGCCCCGGCGGGTGGCCCCGGCTGGGGACAGCGCCCGGCGCGGCCACCGCGGCCTCGGGGACACCTCGGGGTCCCCCACGGTGGGGATGTGACGCGGCACGGCCGGGGGCTGGCCTGGGGACACGGGGACACCGGTGCCACCAAGGTCCCCAGATCCCCCAATGCCACCAAGGTCCCCAAAGTCCCCAATGTCCCCAAATCCCTCCAATGTCACCAATGTCACCAAGGTCCCCTGATCCCCCAGTGTCACCAAAGTCACCAAAGTCCCCAAATGTCCCCAAAGTGTCCCCAATGTCCCCAGATCCCCCCAATGTCACCAATGCCACCAAAGTCCCCAGTGCCACCAATGTCACCAAGGTCCCCAAATGTCCCAAATGTCCCCAAGGTCCCCAGATCCCCCAGTGTCACCAAGGTCACCAAGGTCCCCAAATGTCCCAAATGTCCCCAATGTCCCCAGATCCCCCCAATGTCACCAATGCCACCAAAGTCCCCAGTGCCACCAATGTCCCCAAGGTCCCCAAATCCCACCAATGTCACCAAACCCTCCATGTCCCAAATGTCCACAATGTCCCCAAAT